AGGGAGAGAGAGGGAGGAAGTTAGAGGAAGGAAGGAGGGAAGGGAAGGAAGAAAGAGAGGGAAGGAAGGAAGGATCTAATGGCCTGTGTAGCAAAGCGAGGAGCAGGGAGCATTCCAAAACTCCCACCGGCTTGTTGTGCAGCTATGCTAAGAATGTCAACTTGGTCTGAAGCTTGCAAGGAAGATCTGAAATGTGAAATTTCTGCAAAACTGTTTTTTTTTTTTTTTTTTTTAAATCTGGATAGAAAGCCACCAAATCAACTGTGCGGTTCTGGAAAAAGGGCAGAAACTCTCATTTCTTCACAGTAGATGGGCTGTGGGATCTTCTTCCCTCCCTCCCTTTCCTTCCTCCTTCCTTCCTCTAACTTCCTCCCTCTCTCTCTTCCTCCTTCCCTCCCACTCTCTCTTTCCTTCCTTCCTTCCCTCTTCTGCTATGAAAACAGAGGTGAGGGCCCACTTTTAGGATGCTCCCCCAAATCAATAAAAGCACCATTGAATCCTAAGGCTGGAAAGGTTCCTGGAGGTTATCTAGTCCAACCCTCTGATCAAGGCGAAATGGGCTAATCTCATTCATTGGGTTGTGATTGTGGAAGAGCCACTCAGGATACAGGCAGTCCCTGATTTATGGCCAGTTCTTTTACAACCATCTGAAGTAACAATAGCCCCATCAATCCCACCCCCTTGCGATCATATGGCTGAATATCAGGCAGGTCCGCTTTGCGACCAGAGCTGATGTCCCATGACCACGATCTGCGATATCCGTTTCCAGTTTTCCGGGAAAAGATGAACATCGCATACCGATAGTCCTCGGCGTACAACCACAGTGGAGCCCAAAATGTTCATTGTTCAGTAAGACAGGTTTGCCCCACTTTACGATCTTTCCGGCCTCAGCGGTTAAGTGAATCACTGAAGTTGTTAAGTGAGTCACACGGGTGTTAAGTGAATCGGGCTTCCCCACTGACTTTCTTGTCAGAAGGTCGTAAAAGGGGATCACGTAACCCTTCGGGAGGCTGCAACTGTCGTAAGTACAAGTCAGTTGCCAAGCATCTGAATTTTGGTTACGTGACCCTGGGAGTGTAGCAGATAAGCGATAATTAGAGTTGGAAGGGACTTTGTAGGTCATCTAGTCCAACCCCCTGCCCAAGCAGGAGACCCTACACCATTTCTGACAAATGGCAGTCCAGTCTCTTCTTGAAAGTCACAAGTGATGACTTGAGCAATGGTCATAAGTGTGAAAAACAGTCACAAGTCACTTTTTTCAGTGCTGTTGTAACTTTGAACCATCACTAAATGAGCTGTTGTAAGTCAAGGACTACCTCTATACATTATTCCTCATCCAAAAGTGACTAAGTTTGATCTCAACCATAATTCTGAATTGAGCCCCATCTGAAGTATCACTTTAGGCACTCCATAAAAATGACACAGCACCTCAGCCCAAAGAAACCCCAACACTATGTAGTCAAGAGGATCCTTGGAGGTCATCTATCCAACCCGAGCTTGCAAAGCCTTCAATTATTCTCTAGTACTGCGATGGTATGCATGCCACAGGTGGGATGCAGAGCCATTGGTGCCAGCACGCGAGCCGCAGGTAAACTTACCTCACTGCGCATGTGCGCGCCTCACAGCTGATTTTTTTTGGCTGGCTTGAGGCCTTTTTCAGCCTCCCAAGGGCTTGAAAAAACCCTCCTCAGGCTTTTCAGGCCGAATAATAGACCCGGTATTACAGGAAGTGATGAAACGAGCCTATTATTCGCCCTGAAAAGCTTGCAGAGGGTTTTTTCAAGCCCTTGGGAGGCCGAAAAAAGGCCTCAAACCAGCCAAAAAAATCAACTGTGAGGTGCAGTGCAGGTAAGGGGGTAGAGTGGGGGATTGAGCATGCATGTGCAGGGGGCATTGCCTTCTGGGTGCTGGTATGCGAGCATGCGCGCACACACACAATTTTTGGCACAGGAGCCCCAAAAGGGTAGCCACCACTGCTCTAGTACAATCAAGCAGATACATCTAAAATTTAGTATGGAAAATACATGTATGTATGTATGTATGCTTATCTGATTGGGCAACTATGCATTTTTTCTGCCTGGAAGTACCTTTTAAGACATGCAGACTTCAACTCCCAAAATTCTCTGTCATGCCCAGGATGGCTGGGGAACTCTGGGATTGGAAGTCAACGTATTTTCCTTTTCTAAGTATTTCCAACATATTTTGTTCCCTTTTCTACGTAACCGAAGATGTTTTATATATAGGCTGTCTTTGTAAAAGGTGAATGCAAAAATTTTAATTTGCTTTCTGTGAGTTTTGGGGGGGGGGTGTTTTAAATGAGGAAACAGGAAGGGGAGTGGAAGACCCACTGCTGTGGTTACAATTCTAACATTTGAAAAATGTGCTGAAATGGCATTGAAATTGGATTTAGTAACAAAGTACAGCTACTCCTCAACCTACAACCACAACGGAGGCCAAAATTTCCACTGCTAGGCCAGACCGTTGTTAAGCAAGTCTTGCCGCATTTCACCCCCTTCCCTGCTACCGTTGTTAAATGAGTCACCGTAGTCCTTAAATTACTTACATGGTTGTTAAGTGAATCTGGCTTCCTACTTCTCAGAAAGTCGCAAAGGGGGAATCCCAGGATCCCAGGATGCTGCGACCGTCATAAATACGAGACAGTTGTGCCAAGTGTCTGAATTTTGATCACGTGACCACGAGGAGGCTGTGACGATTTTAAGTGCAAAACACGGTCATAAGTCACTTTTTCCAGTGCTGTTGCAACTTCGAACGGTCACTAAACAAAATGGTTGTAAGTCGAGGACCAGCTGTAGCCTATTTCCAGCAATTTTTCACAGAGGAGTTTGCTTCTCAATTAAGGCAGGAAAAGCAGCAAGGCAGGTTCATTAAATTAAATTCAGTTTATCCCTAAAATCAACTACAGGAAGTCCTTGACTTGCAACCGATCACTTACCAACCGTCCAAAATTATGACGGAACCAGAAATGGAGCTAATGGCTCAGTTTCGAAGTTCTGACTATGGCATTCGCTTAAGAACTACCACTTTAAAGTTCATAAAATTGGGTGCAGTAACGTGGTGATTTGTTTCACTACCAAATCTTTTTAATGTTGTAAGTCGAGGATTATCTGTAATATTTTTGTCAAATTTTTAAATGGTTCAGACTCAGGCTCCTTTGGGAGGGGGGAGCAAAAGAAAGAGATATGCAAATTATCTCTTTGATCAGGATTCCCCAGTCTCAGCGAGTGTGAGTTGTGTAGATTTCAACTCCCAGAGTTCACTCATGTCCACTAGAGAATTCTGGGAATTGAAGTCCAGGCATCTTGAATGGGGAATTCTGGGAATTGAAGTCCAGGCATCTTGAATGAGGAATTCTGGGAATTGAAGTCCAGTCATGGAGGTTGAAGAATTCTGGGATCTGAAGTCCAGTCAAGCTGAATGGGGAATTCTGGGAACTGAAGTCCACTGAATGATGGAGGCTGAAGAATTCCGGGAACTGAAGTCCAGTCATGCTGAATGGGGAATTCTGGGAACTGAAGTCCACACGTTTTAAGATTGCTGAGTTTGTGTTCCACTATTTTAGACCAACCCAATGATTTATCTTTTTACTTTCACGTCAATTCAACAGAATGTGAGACTATGAAGGATTTTCTGTTCATTGTAGTTATTCGGTCCGCTTTTTTGTTGTTTGGGAGGTTCTGGATTCTAAATCCAGCCGACCTGGTCAAGGATGATAGGAATTGAAGTCCTAAACTTCCAGAAGCCTGAGGAAGGCCATTACGCATCATAATGGCGGACAGGTTCTCTCCATGGCAGGGGTCTCCAACTTTGGCCACTTTAAGACTTGTGGATTTCAATTCCCAGAATTCCTCAGCTAGCTTTGCTGGCTGAGGAATTCTGGGAGTTGAAGTCCACAAGTCTTAAAGTGGCCAAGGTTGGAGACCCTTGCTCCATGTTGCCCAGGAATGAGGTGGAATAAAGACAGCGGAAGCAGCTTCGTGAGGGAAAGTACACCACACAGCATACCACATCTGAATAAAAAGCCTTTGTTTTTTTGCCAGTGCCTCTAAAACTGATTTGACCCCTAGCCATCGGTCCCAAGGTCGACTACAGGTAGTCCTCGACTTACAATGGTTCATTTAGTGACCGTTCGTAGTAACAGCGGCCATAAAAAACAGTGACTCACAACCAGTTTTTCACTTACGACCTTTGTAGCATCCCCATGGTCACGTGATCAAAATCCAGCCACTTTGCAACCGGTTCATATTTACGATGGTCATGGCGTCTCCTGGGGTCACGTGATCCTCTCATGTGTCCGTCTGCCAAGCAAAGTCAACGGGAAGCCAGATTCACTTAACGACCGCGTGGCTGACTTAACAGCGGCAGTGTTTCTTATAACAACGATGAGGGCAAGGCAGGTCGTAAAATGGGCCAAAATTCACTCAACAAACTTCCTCGCTTCACAGAAATTTTAGGCTCAATTGTGGTCGTAAGTCAAGGACTACCTGTAATGGTCAACACGGAGGTTTCAGGCTGTAAGGCCTGCAAGCGAATTTGCTGATCTGTTGTACATTTACATACACACACAAACACACACACACACACACATTCTATTCCTCACGGCTACTAAAGACAGAACAAAACTCCATTGTGTTTGAGGATGACACTGGGAGACACCAACCATCAATGAGAAGAGGATTTGGCCATTAGAAGAACAATCCATCACTCCAAAGTCTGGACAGATTTTTCTCCAAAAGAAAAAGAGAAATTCTTTTTTTTTTTTTACACAGTTGTTAAGTGAATCTGGTTTCCCCACTGACTCTGCTTGTTAGGTCACAAAAGCTCCTGACCCCAAGACACTGCAAACCGTCATAAATGCTGCATGTGTTGGTTGCCAAGCGTCCAAATTTTGATCCTGTGACCGTGGTGATGCAGCGGCCACTAAATGGAATGTCACTAAATCAATGGTTGTATGTCAAGGACTATATCTGTCCGTCTATTTCTCCGTTCATCTAGTTCTAGATTCTTACTGATCTATTATCAATCATCTTTGTTAACAATATTGTTTTATCTGTTGTCTACCTATCTTAATTATCTAAATTGTCCTATCTATCTATCTATCTATCTATCTATCTATCTATCTATCTATCTATCTATCCATTTATATGTATCTATATATCTGTCATTTATCTATCAATTATTATCTATATCCATCCATCGCTCTGTATTTATGTATGTATCTATGTGTCTATCTATGTATCTACCTATCTATCATCTATTATCTATCCATTTCTATCTATCTTATCAATCTATATCTATCCATTTCTATGTATCTATCATTTATTTATTGATCTATTATCTATCTCCATCCATCCATTCCTCTTTATTTACGTATCTATGTGTCTATGTATTTACCTATCTATCATCTATTGATCTATTATCTATCTGTCAATCGATTGATCTACCTACCTGCCATCTATCCGTCCATCCACCTGTCTGTCTATCACCTGAACTAGACTTCTATCTGGTGCTACCTGTGTAACAGCTCCCCAGGCAACAATAATGAATCAGTGAAGAATTTTGTAAATAAGATGTTGGGTAACCATTTGCCTGAAATGGTGTAGGGCAGGGGTGTCCAACCTTGGCAACTTTAAGACTTGTGGACTTCAACTCCCAGAATTCCTCAGCCAGCTCCACGTGTCTTAAAGTTGCCAAGGTTGGACACCCCTGGTGTAGGGTTTCCTGCCTAAGCAGGGGGTTGGACTAGAAGACCTCCAAGGTCCCTTCCAACTCTGTTATTCTATTCTATTCTATTCTATTCTATTCTATTCTATTCTATTCTATTCCCTATTCTATTCTATTCCCTATTCTATTCTATTCTATTCTATTTCTATTCTATTCTAAATCTCTTGACAAATCTAAACTCTCTCTTGGGGCCTTTCAATTGCCAGCCCCGTCTCCCCACAAGATACATACCAATATTCTGCATTCTGGCTGAGGATGATAGGAGTTGAATGACACCTCTCTAAAAAATAATAATAATCTCATTTTACCGATAGGCTTGCATTACAGCCTTTGGGCAGGTAGGAACTGATCTACTCGTCCAGCTGCTGCGTAAGCACTTTAGAAAACCACACACACAAAACAACAGAGAGTGGTCTTTCAAAGGATCCTGCTTTCCCAAACCCCAAATGTTTTTTTTTTAATGCAACACATGCATACTTAAGCAGATCACGTGACAGCGCCCCCCCCCCCCCCCCCAAAAGAAGCGACAGAATTGAGTGGAGGGGGTGTGTGTCAAACCGAAGCAGCTTTTCTATTGCAAAGATGCCACCGGTTCTTTTCCCAACTCCCATTCCCCACTCCCCCTCCCCACCTCACCCTGTTTGTGTAGCTCAAGCCTCCCTCCTTAGCACACACACACACACGCAGAGAATCCGGTTGCCAAGCTGCTTGCAAAGACCTTAAATGCACCGAAATGCAACTGTCACTCAGGCGTGCAAGGAAGCGGATTAAGTCCCTAAAGCCTGGAGGGTTTGCAGCGGGGAAGGAAGATTGGGGAGGGGGGGGGAGGCGAACAGAAGGGAAGAAATTACAGCGCGAGCCAACTTGTCTGGGTGAGCTCATTTGTCGCAACGGGATCGGGTCTAGCTAGGGAAGGAAGGAAGGAGGGAGGGAGGGAGGTTAACTCCTTGCAAGCCACGACCTGGCCGGAAGGGAGGGAAGTGGGGGATCTCCTGCGCCGTCCCCCTCCCCTCCTTTGCAAAAAGAAAAAGGGGAAAAAAGACGGCAAAAGGGGGGAGGACTGAACCCCAACAGGCCAATTCAGGATCCAGCTAAATCTCTTCCCCTACCCGCTCCTGTCTATTCCCCCCCCCCCCGCATTCCTCCTCCCACCCCCTACCGCCTTTGATTGCAACGTGTGCATGGTGCAGGACAAAACCCGGACGTCGGAAGGACCAGAAGAAAAAGGAAGGAAGGAAGGAAGGGGAACGAGGGGAGAAAGAAAGGGAGGGGGGAGGAAGGAAGGGAGAAAAAGAAGGAAGGAAGGAAGGAAGGAAAAAGGCAGAAGGAGAAATCAGGGAGGGAAGGCGAAGGCATCGCATTGCCTGGCAAACTGCACGCATTATAAACTGCCTTGCAAATGGCATTGCATTGCACAGCAACTTCCGACCCTCCTTTCCTCTCTCTCCCTCCCACCCCACCCCCCCACCGACCACCACCAATACCCCCGTTGGCCTAAGCCTGCCAGCGGCCCCCGGCCTGGGAATTTAAAAAAAAAAAAAGGAGGAAACGGCGGGGGTGGAGGGGGGGCGCGCTCTACCATTTTGCTGCCGGGCTGCCCGATCCAGGGAGCCCCGCTGCTCCTGTGCTCGCGGTGGGGTTGCGCTCTCCATCAAAAGATCCAGGGGTGGAGCGAGGAAGGTGGATTCGGGGGTGGGGGGAGGGAGAGAGAAATCTTCTCGCTTGTTCCGTCTAAAGAGGGGGGTGTATGTGGCTGGTCTGGCTAAGCCCCCCCCTCCTCCTCCCCGCTCCTCTTCCTCCTCCTCCTCTTCCTCTGCAGCGGCCGATGCTCGGCGCTTTGCAAAGGATCCTCGGCCGACGCTCCGCCTCCCTCTCTCTCCTCCCGCCCCCCCCCCCCGCGCTCTCCAGCGAGAAGGGAAAAGGCTGGCGGCGCCTGCCGAGCGTTCCAGGAGGGTGACGGAGGCGCTGGGCTTCTCTTCGCCTCAATGCGCCTGCGCGCCCGGGTTCGCCCGCTTTGCCAGCGCTGCATATGCTAAGAGTCGGACGGGAGATTTGACTTCTTTGCCGTCTGATAATTTTAATCGCGTGATTTTATTTACTATTCTGCCTCAATTGCTTGATGGGGAGTGAGCCACTTCCTTCCATTTCCCCCCAAGCAACGTTCCTGCTAGGTGGAATGGGCTGAGAGTCAAAGTCACTCAGAAAACTCTCTTACCTAAGACGGGACTAGCACTCACAGCCCCCCAGTGATAGGCCCAAAGTCACCCAGCAGGCTTTCGTGCCTAAGGTGAGACTAGAACTCCCCGTGCCCCAAAATTTCTAGGTCAGCACCTTAACCACTACACCAAACAGGATGTCCCGCTTCCCTGTGTAGAAAGTGAATCCAAGCGGAGGAGGCGGGGGGATCTGGATGGGGGTCATGTTTTCCTGGAAAGAACAGGCGCCTGGTGGGTTTGAACCCCAGTGCCTCAGTTGAAAAGGGAGGGGGAAGGAGCCCAGGGTGCATTGCACCACTTGCTGTGAGCGCAGCCACACTTAGCCATCCTTGGAGTACACCCGAAACATACCCTCTGATTCTCAGGACTCAAAAAGGGACGCTTGACCCAGGCGGCTTGAGGGTTCAAGATATATTGGCTTTCGACTACCAAGACCATCTTTTAAAAGGACCACAGTGAAATTCTGGGAATTGAAGATCTTTAAAAGAGCAGTTTTGAGTTTTAGACCTTTGGGTAAACTTCTATCTTGGCCAGCTTAGCTAATATCCACCAGTCCGTCCCAACACTAAATTTTCTGCAATGGGTTAGGCTGGGAAACCAGATTATTTTCTATGGACCATTGTTCCCCCCAAGGAAGAGAGCGCCCAACTATTCTCCTAAGCACTTGAAGGCAGGACAAGAAACAATGGAGGGAAACTAATCAAGGAGAGAGAAGCAATTTAGAACTAAGGAGACATTTCCTGACAGCGAAAGCAATTATGGCTTCCCTCCAAAAATTGTGGGCTGCTTCATTGGTGGGTTGGACTAGATGACCTACAAGGTCCCTTCCAACTCTGTTGTTCTGTTATTTTTATTGTCCCGTGGCCCCCACACCTACCACCTTGTGGCTTTTCTGAATGGCTCCATAAAGGTGATTTTATCAATAGGCCTGGGTACTCCAAATTACTATGGAGCTGAGGAAGTGACTGGTCTGAGTGGATAATTGCTGCCATGGGGCGGCATCAGGACTTCCTGTGCTTTGTAAGGAGTTAACCACCCTGATTTAAAAAAAAAAATATTGTTCAAAGTCTCTTAAATCAAGATGGGCTCCTGGGGCATGCCTTTTTTTGTGTGTCCGGGTCTTTTTCCATGTGGTTTTTCAGAAGGTCTGTAGGCCTTGGATTTCTTGAAGGCTCGCCACCCACCCATGCATTGAAATGAAACCCTGATTTGGCATTCATTTAAAAAAAGTTACAGGAATTGAAAAACATTTTGTTTTAGGATGTATTGCTGGGCATAGGTAGCCCTTGACTTACGACCACAATCAAGGGCATTTCCACTGCTAAGCGAGACAGTTGTCAAGTGCGTTTTGCCCTGTTTTACGACCTTTCTTGCCAAAGGGAATTGCTATGGTTGTTAAAGAGAGTAACCCAGTTAAGTGACCTTGCTTGCCAGAAGGTCGCAATAAGGGGATTGTGGCTCTGGAGACACTGCAAGAAGTCCTAACTATGAGCCAGTTGCCAAGTGTGTGAATTTTGTTCACGTGATCATGGGTCATTAAGTCATTAAGTGTGAAAAGCAGTCATGTCACATTTTTTTCAGTGCTGTCATAACATCAAATGGATACTGAACGAATGGTTGCAAGTTGAGGACTATTTATAAAAAGTTCCTACCCGCAAAAACAATTGCTTTTTAAATGAAGATCAGGCAATTCGTGTCTGAACAACTTGTATTTAAATATTCCTATTTTTAATTGCATTGAAGGAGGGAAAAAATCATTTCAACAATACATTTTGGTTCCTAACCAAAAGAAAATTATTTAAATTGATGAAACGGGGAGCGTAGGAAATCCTTCAAACCATTTTGAAAATGAAACGGGCTACTTTGAGAATCTACAAGGGGAGGATCTTGAATTCCCTCTTGAATTCAGAATGGCAGCCTCATACTCAAGTCAGAAATTTGGGCGCTGAAGCAGTTCCCAAAGAAAATGCTCTATGCCATCCCGTTACGAAATATGCAGCGATTCGGCATCATAGAAATTTTAACAAATTCAGGACCGGCATTAACAGATAAAAGCGTTGCCGTTTGCCTGGACCACTAAATAATAACAGTTATTTCTGCCGTTTTTTTTTTTTTTAAAGTTAACTATCCGATACGAAAATTTGGATATATCCCAACATTTCCATTTCAAAATGGACAATTTTATCTGCTGAATTCAAACCGAAGAATAAAATTCAATTGCTCCTGAAAGTTAGCTTCCTGAAATAAATTTACAGCTTGCTATCTTTGCAGATGCTCATCAACAGACTTGCAGATCTGACAGAGATAGTAGAAAATTAGAACGCTAGCACATTCAGACATGATAAAAATCCAGAATCAGAAGAAGACCGTGGGAAAAACGCGACAGCTTGATGTCAAGACAAAGGAGAACATTGTTCTTGCTTCTTCAATGGATAGAGAACAGAGACTGAATGTGGTCTAGCATCACTATCCACACCTCGATAACGCCTGCAAAGGAGCATTAGGCAAAACCGATCAAGGTTTGGATGGTAACCAGCTTTTAACTCATGGGATCCAAATAATACACAACATTTTCCAGACAAGCGATGAATCTAACTCCCAGAATTCATAACTCTGGTAGTGAATGATCTCGTAGCCAGGATCTTCTGGGATCTGTACTATCAAAGTTATTGACCTGTCAAAGATATCAATGAACCATTAGTTCAGCACTGAAAGGGCAATGTTTGAAGCAGGTAGATCGCAGCTGAGATTCCTATAATATGATTCTTCACAGTTTCATGGTTATCGAGCGAATTTTCTTCAGAGAAACAATTTAAGAGGCTTAACTGAACATTCAATTGCACGTCAACTGTATCATCTACTCTGAAGTGAAACTGGGCAATACAAAATGATTGCCATAGTAGAGTGTACAAAAAAACACACGTTGTGCTGAGTTTCAATAAGGCTACACTTCTGTTGGCAGCAATTAGTTTCACCTAAACATTGAGAAAAATACCCAGAAACAAAACATTGATCCAAGCTACGGACATAAAAAACTTTCTGTTATGCATAATTGCTATGATCAACCGTCAGCTCTCAGCTGTATCTGCTGCTTTCGCTGGGACTTCGGCAATTAGAATAGCTGCGGTCACTTTCGCTGTCGGACCCGTAAGATCTACAAAGAAAGATAAAATATATGTGAATATAGCACACCGGGCACTCACTTCCACTTTAAATACAGGTAGTCCTTGACTTACAGGAGTTCATTTAGTGACCAAAGTTACAGCAGCACTGAAAAAAATGACTTAGGGCCGTTCTTCACACTTACAACGAATACAGCAGGCCCAGGGTCATGTGATCAAAATCCAGGTGCTTGGCAACTGACCTGTATTTATGATGTTTGCAATGTCCCGGAGTCACATGATCCCCTTTTGCGATCTTCTGACAAGCAAAGTCAAAGCTGGCTTCACTTAACAACCATGTTACTTACTGAACAACTGCAGTGATTCACTTAATAACTGTGGCAAAAAAAGGTTGCAAAATAGGGAAAAATTCACTTAACAAATGTTTCACTTAAGAACAGAAATTTTGGGCTCAATTGTGGTCGTAAGTCGAGGACTACTTGTAGAGATTTTTCCACAACCTGAAGATAAAAACTAAGGAAATTTTTCTGGGGTGTCTTCTATCATTTGTCTCTTCAGAACCCCCTCCTCAAATATGGCTTGTTAGGCTAGTGCAATCTGCGTCATGAAACAAGATTGCACAATTATCCCTCCTTCAGCTCGCAAATTTTCAGGATTTGTACCCAAGACTTCTGTCTGAGATAGTGATGTTCTAGTATTTCTTCCATTTTGTTGCTAGTTATTCCTTGTACTCCATTGGCCTTGACAAAATCCCCATTAGTCAATTGCAGAAGGCTGCCTGACTTGGGACAGCTGACACCCTGCGAAGAGACCTTTAACCCTATCAAACAGCCACATCTGCCTATTCCAGGTCCTTGGGAAAGATTCCAGAGGTAGACAAAAATGCCAAATCCATCTGGCTGATTGTGTGATTAACCATAATATACAAAGTGACAGAAAACGAAGCTAAAGCGTTTAGTGATAAACAGACAGGCAATTGTCACATAATACCACAGCGTTCACAAGGGTTGATTACGAAAGAGAAAAACGTCTGATTAGTGGATGTGGCAGTGCTTGGAGACAGCAGAAGAGAAGAGAAAGAACTGGAGAAGATCACAAAATACACTGCTCAAAAAAATAAAGGGAACACAAAAATAAGACACCCTAGATCTGAATGAATGAAATATTCTTATTAAATACTTTGTTCATTACATAGTTGAATGTGCTGACAACAAAATCACACAAAAATTATCAATGGAAATCAAATTTAGCAACCCATGGAGGTCTGGATTTGGAGTTACACTCAAAATTAAAGTGGAAAAAAACACTACAGGCTGATCCAATTTTGATGTCATGTCCTTAAAACAAGTCAAAATGAGGCTCGGTAGTGTGTGTGGCCTCCATGTGCCTGTATGAACCTCCCTACAACGCCTGGGCATGCTCCTGATGAGGTGGCGGATGGTCTCCCGAGGGATCTCCTCCCATACCTGGACTAAA